GTAACTGAACAAGAAATTATATCTGTTTATAGAATTAAAGAGAATGTATTATCACATAAAAAACGAAGCAACTGAAACAACTTACATTGAAAGAAATGTTTAATAAAGTAAACAAATAAATATTAAGCTTTTTTTTTTTGTAAATTTTGATACCCTTTAGATCATAATTGTTCTTTATTTCGTAAATTACGGTCTCATATTTTTACTTTTATAATTTCTGCATGCCATTTTACCAGATTTAAACTGATGATCTATAATCCGGAAAAATCGATAATCCGGAATTGCCGAAGTCCCGACGAGTCCGGATTAACGACTTTTGACTGTATTGTAAACATGAAAAATTCCAGGTACCATACTTAAACGAAAATATCCATTTTGACCGCTTTTGAATGCAATTTAACGATGTTTTAAAATGACATCTGTACGTAATGACAGAATAAAGGACTCTTATTTCCCCAAACATATTATAAAACTGATTTAAAAGGGATTCAGAAGAGATATTTTTATGTTGTCTGTTTGTATGTATGTATGTATCTCGCATAATTCAAAAACAAGTAGCCTCAGAACGTTGAAATTTTGTATATAGGACTGCTATAACATGTAGATATGCACCTCCCTTTTTGGTTGCAATCAACCATACCAAAAGTATATATACATATATATATATATATTATATCTCCACTCTGTAACTCTGCTCAGTGAGCTCAGTTTTTTATTCTTATATGTTGGTAAATTGGCCATTTTTTGCATTAAATTGATTGAATTATATTGTTCTTATCTTCCTGTTAAGGTTTTTATGCCTTTAGTTAATCTGCATGCAATATTTTTAGAATTATCAACAATTTATGAGTTTGTTTAAGTGCGTCTAAGCCTAATTCCCCCCCCCCCCCCCCCCCTCCATAGCAGCTATACTTATTTACATTTGGAACTTAGCAGAATAGTGAGTTAATTCTTTCTGCACTTTCAGTATCTTTTTGCAAAATGGGACCAAAAGGAAAATTTAGTTTTGTGCGCTGAAATATCTACCTTCTTGCCTGCTGGCCGAGTTGCTTGTTTTTGTGAAGAAACTGTAATTTTAATTATGAAAATTGTTTTTTAAATTGTTTTAATTGTACTTCATGTTTTATGTTTTTTATATATTTTAATTTTTAATGAAAATATTTTGAGTTTTTATGCATTTTTCCCTTACTGGGAACTGAGAACTGAATTAATTGAATGAGAAATATATCTCTAATGAAATTCAAGAAAGTGTTTTTTATTAGCAGCAAATATTGTCGCTAGTCTGTCTCAGACAGAGGACACTGTTTACGTGTAGCACATACGCATTAAGTAAGCGGCGCTGATCGTCTGTGGGAAACTCTTTTTTTTTATTATTTGTTTATACATAGTTTTAGATTTATTATAGTATTTGAATAGAACATGTGGCAGCGATTAGGTAATTCTTCAGATAATATAATTTTTGTGCATTCTGTATTGTAAAATGAATGAGATGTAATACTGTTAAGTGAACAAAGCACCAGAGTGTCGCTATGGTGTATAAATATAGTGAATTTTAAAAGAGTGTGTTTATTCTATTGTGGTTTATGCACTATCGACGGACTAGATTTACTTCAGTTTAATGAATTAAAAAAATTTAAATGAAAATTAGTATAATTTTATATTCTCTACAAGGAAGTCCGGGTGTACACATCAGCTTTTTTACTTTCTTGTAAAGGAAGTATTGTGATCGCTAAAAATTTTGGGTATCATATTTCAAAGAAAATATCCATTATGACAGCTCTCAAATTCCTTCCAACAATTCTTTTTCCATGACATCTGTATGTACAGGTAGAATAAAGGACGCATTTTCACAAAACGAACTGTAAAATGGATTCAGAAGAGAATTTTTCATGACATTTGGATGTACCCATGTATGTATGTATCTCACATAACTCAAAAACCAGTAGTCATAGAACATTAACATTTTGTATATGGGACTGCTACAACATCTAGTTGTGAACTTCCCCTTCCTGTTACAACTGGCCACACCAAACATCTATATATATATATATATATATTCCCACTCTGGTACTTGGTTCGGTAAGCCCAGATTTATATACATATATATATATATTCCCACTCTGCTACTCGGTTCGGTAAGCCCAAATTTTTACTCTTATATATCAGTAAATTGTGCATTTTTTGCTTTAAAAGTGATTGAATTATGTTGTTTTTATGCTGCGGTTAAGGTTTTCATGCCTTTAGTTAATCTGCATGAGATGGTTTTAGAACTATCAAGAATTTAATGGTGTAAGTGTCGCTAGGTCTAATGTAGCAGCTATTTATTTACATTTGAAGCTCATAGTGGTATAGTGGATTAAGTCAGTTGGTACATCAACTTCAGTGCTTTTTTGTTCGCTGGGATCAGAAGTTGACTTTAAATTTTTGTCACCGAAAACGTTGTCTCTGTGCCCATTATCCAAATTTCTTGTTTTTACGCAGAAGCTCTAATTTCAATTGGAAAAAAAAAAAAAAAAAAAAAAGTGTTTTAAATTTTATTTAGTTTTTTTTTTTTTTTTTTTTTGCATTTTACAATTTTTAATGAAGATGTTTTCAGTTTTTATGTAATTTTGCCTTGCAGCAAATTGAGAACTGAATTGATTGAATGAGAAATGTATCTCTAATGTAATTTGGGGAAATAAGTTTAATGAAAGTGCAGCAAAAAATGTGTATAATTTAATAGGCAATAAAAGGAAGTCATGTGTTGTCCACATCAGATTTTTTAAATCTTAAGCTGTAAAATTTGAAACATTCTGAAAAAGCTTATTATGTTAGCCCTTATTACTTTTTTTATTACAGTTGAATGTATCTCTTTATATTTCGCTTTCTTTTATTTATTGTTCATTTGTAGTCTAGTAAATTTAATATTTTTGATAATCTTAGTTATTGGTTCTGTATCGTGGAGCTGATAATACATTGGATGGGTTCTTTCTCAGCATTTGGCATCTCTGTTTTCTTTCTTTTACCATTCTTTTCATTTAGTTTATGAAAATATTTTTAAAAAAATTGTTATAGGCACCACATGACTTCCTCATACAACCTGTTAAATTGTACACATTTTTTGCTGCATTTCATTTAAACCTATTTCCTCGAATTCCATTAGAGATATATTTCTCATTCAATTAATTTAGTTCTCGCTTTGCAATAAGGCAAAAAAATACATAAAAACTCAAAGCATTTTCATTAAAAATTGTAAAATTTAGAAAAAACTTAAATACCAAATACAGTTAAAAGAACAATTTTTACAATTAAAAATAGAGTTTCTGTTCAAAAACAAGCAATCCAGGCTGTGGGCAGAAAGACTGATTTTTTGCTCAAAACTGAAAGTTTACTTTTGGTCCCACTCAACAAAAAGACACTGAAGTTGGTGCAGAAACTGACATAATTTACTCTTATTTCTACCTCTAATAAGAGTTTTAATTAGAGTCTCTAATAAGAGTCTTAATTGTAAACAAGAGGCAGAATTGTTATGCTAAATAGCACTTAACAACTTTTTAATTGTTGATAATTCTACAATTGTTGCATGCAGATTAACTAGAGCCATAAAAACCTTAACCAGAACATAAGAACAACATAATTCAATCATTTGTAAAGCAAAAAATGTCCACTTTACCACTAATTAAGAATAAAAAACTTGAGCTCACCGAGTCGGGTAACAGAATGGTATAGTGGGCGGGTATACATATTTAAATTTGAGGCACAACTGCATGTTATAGCAATCCCATACAAAATTTTAATGTTCTGAGGCTACTAATTTTTGAGTTGTGTGAGATAACATACATATATACATGCAGATGCCATGAAAAGTATCTCTTCCAAATCCATTTTGGGAAAGAGAGTCTTTTATTCTGTCCATGTGTGCAGATGTCACACAAAAGCATCGTTTAAATGGATTTGTGAACGCTCAGAATGGATATTTTCTCTGAAGTATGATACCCAAAATTTTTCGCATTTACAATAATTCCTTTACTTTCATACAAAGAAGTAATAAAAAGGATTATATAAAAATATGAATAAAAAGAATTACATCTTTAAATCAATAGTTTTTTTAATATTTGTGTGTTGTTTTCTGTATGTTGAATTTGACCTAGATAAGAATAGTATATGTTTTCAAAATTTAAATGCATTTTGCTTATTATAAAGAAATAAAAAATCCTTCATAACTATGTTCCATTTTACTAATCTTATTTTTATTCTTCATTTAAATCCAGTTATTGTAGTGGTATATAAGATCCTACAAGTAGATAGATATAATATCCTTTATTTTTTTTTTTTTTTTAATCTAGAAGTTTTGGCATAATTAAAAAAATGTAAGACAAAGTAGTCTAAATCTCACTTGCTGTTTCACTTTAAAAATCATTGTTTGAAATTTTTTTCTGATGTTTTAATTCAATTTTAGTTGCCTAATATTTTAAGTGCCACCACACCACATTTACACTAATGCTTGCAAATATCAAAGCCTTCTCTAAGATTTAAATCTGGCCCTAGTAGTACAGCAGCCAGCATCACTAACTGCTATATCAGTTAGGGTGACTTCTGTAAAACATTAAGTACAGGAATATGATAAATCATTCATGGGGATTCACAACATTGTGAATTATAGAGTAAATATATTGAAAATAATAAAGAAAGAATTGTAAAATATAAATTTTAATTTGTCGGCCATTTGATATATTTTGAAGAATGTTTTATCATGACTGTGTTTTCTTTCCCTCCTTTCCCTGTCAAATGTTTTTATTTTTGAGGAAAAAAAAAAAAGGAAAAAAAAATTCTTACTAGGATTTCTTTTGTTGATAATAAATGAAAACATCAATAAATGAAACATTACTAGGATTTCTTCTGTTGATAATAAGGGAAACATGATTTCCCTCTCTTAGTATTTAACATTATTTAAAATTTTTGAAATTTTAGTTAAACTTGTGTATTTAAAACAGAATAACTTTTCCCCCTTTTATTTGTAGGTTGGATTACCTGCCAAATCTGGAGTTTCTGGAACAACAATGGTGGTTGTACCTAATGTAATGGGAATATGTTTATGGTCTCCTCCATTGGATTCGTATGGAAACTCTGTTCGAGGAGTTCAGTTCTGCGAGGTGTGTTTGAAAAAACTAATTATTTGCTGAATTGTGTAGCAAAGCTTACATCATCTGCTATGCTATACCATACTTGTTGAGTATTTTCATATATGTGTGAGAATTTCAAGTTATTCTAATTAAGCATTTTTTTATGTGATGATGGCCCTTCAAGCTAAATTCATTACTTAGAAGAGCTAGTTAAATTTTTCTGCACAAAGGCGGAGAAATATGTTCAGAATCTTTTCTATTTCTTTCTAAATTAACATGAATCAGCTTTAATTTCTCTAATAAATTGCATACTTAAAATATTATTAGTTACTCTTAACCCCATAATTGGTAGCTCAAAAACATGAATTTTTTCTGCAGGCAAAGTAAAACCCAGTCAGAAAAATTTTGTTGTCCAGTTAAAATATAGTTAGTTTCCATGCCTGAAAACGCATTTCCTCTCTCTGCAAAGTAGGAAGCCTAGGTTGCGACCCTGCACTGTAGACACACAAATAGCATCTGAAGAAGAGCGGGGCAGATTTTTTTCTTCAGTAGAATTCTCTGAAGGGGGGAATTTTTGCATATTCTTCATTTATATAGTGCATTTTGACTGGGGGAATAAGCTTTACAGTGAAAATTGGAGGTATTTACTTCTATCACTTGGGCTAATCATACGTTAAGCATTTGAAGACGCCAAGTATACTCGAACAAGTCACAGTGTGATGGTTTTCTCAACCCGAGGTAGATCTTCAACCTCTTCAGTTAATAGTTACCTTAAGTAAATTTTTTCTGTTTTGATTTTTACCTGTAATCGCCTCTGCACAAAATATTCCGAATTATCTGTAATCAATTATTTTGTGAATTCCTATGCAGTTAATCGTAATTCTGCGTGGAAAAACTTTCGATTAAGCTGTTTTTTTCTTTGTCATAAATACCTACTTCAGATATTTAGCCATCCCCTAATGATTTACAATTTGTGTTGCAAGAATATTTTGTTTAACTTGTAGTTTAATTATTTGCATGAAACTCTTACGAATAAATTAGAGATTTTATGTTTTTCTCATAAATAAATGCCCTCTGGTATTTAGTCATACTTCTAAAGACTTTCAGAATGTTATTTGGTTAACATTTTTTGGAAGTGTTATTTGTGTAAATTAGTTTTCATTTCCAGTTTTCTGGAATTAGCTTTCGAAATAGATGCTTGCTTAAGTTTTGACCTATGAAATAAATGCTTCATGTTTCCTAGGAGCTTGTTCGCGTTTTTAACTTTCATCACTATGACAATCTGAGACACACTACTCAAAAGCGAGATCCCAGAAGGCAAAAGTATGAAACGAAAGGTTTGAAAATTGTTGGTTTACTATTTAGTGCTGCGAGTGGTGATGTTACAGCCATGAGGAGGTGAGGGTTTTTTTTTTTTTTTTTTTTTTTTTTTTTTTAAGTATTAATGTTTATTGAGTGGAAGATGAATTTTGAAACTTTTTGATTTAATGAACACGTAGAATATTTTTTAATTTTTAAATTGCTGCTGCTTTAGAAAAAAAATAATTTAATATTTTTTATTTATTGGTTATTCATGACTCGTGCAAATAATGCCATTAAAAGTGTGTTAAAAGGAAACATATTTTATTTTTCCAGTTTTGTGGACCTTAATTAAAAACTTTTTTAATATTTTTGTGAGTTCTGGATAGTATTCTAATAAAATTAAATGATTACTACTATAATTATCAAATGTTTCTTTCTTAAGTGAGACTTATAAGAATTTGCTGAAGTTAAGTATCAATTTAATCTTTTAACATTTAACATACATTTAATACTTTTTAATCTTTTAGGCAAACATTTTATCTTTTAACCTTGCCAGTGACATTTGTCAGGTTATAAACCAACTTTTAGGTTGAAGAAAATGTTTTTTATATCAACTGTTCCTAACTGTGTACCACAGCACCTTTGGATACTTTGGAGCAGCACCACCAGGGAAATGATATTTGATTACCACTGCTTTTGAAAAACGCCTGTCAGCTTATGAATTGGTTCTAAAATTACTAAAAAAAGCTACATCTAAATTTATTTCTGTGAGATGAAATCTTAGTGGGCTGTTTTATGACAATATACTGAAGACAAAAGCTGGTAGCAAGAAATGAATAGATTTTTGGATATCATTGAAAAATGAATAGTCCATGTGTCATATCACCGAGAAGCTAGAATCCTTATGACCCCAACGCTGTACCCTTATTTAACTAGCCAATTAAATTAGAGCTCTTGGTGACATCAGATTCTGGGTATTACATGACGCTATGGTCCTTTTGCCATTTTAACTGTTGACTCTCTGACAGTTCTATGTTTTGGTAGTGAATGAGTACGGCATGTCTTCGGAAGAGCGTGCACTCTGCCTGTACTGCGAAAAATACTTTGAAAAATACGGTACAACTTAGAAAACATTTATGCAATGTGTACAAATTCTGAATTGAGCTGAATCACATTAAATGCGGAGAAAAAGGTTGTTTGGAAGCTTCTGTACATTAAAGAATTATAGAGAGCATTTAGAGAGAAGCTGCATAAATATGAAAATATAAATAAAAGTTTAGATCTGTCATTCCCATCAAGACAAAATATGTTAATCTGCACCGTATATGTATTTGAATAATGCAGAAGTATTACTTTAATTTTTTCTCTCATTCTAAGGAAAACAAAATTATTGAAAAGGTGTCATTTTCTCCTTTGCCATGCTTGATAAAAAAAAAAATTAAAAAAACATGTAATAGTTGCACAATCAATCATTGTTAAACCTTTCCGGATTTTAACGATGTGAGAAATGTTATAGATCTATTCTTGCTCTTCATCTTTTAATATCTGTAATACCAAAAGACTTGTCATTCCACTTTCACATTACAAAATTCTTAAAACACTAACATACCAGTTAGTTTTTATGCTGCTTGAAAACTATAACTTCATCACTGAATACATAAATTTAATAACGCTGTATATTTTTCAGTTGTGTTGTCTTACTTTTTAAAAATTGTGTACTCTGCTGTTATTGGGATCAGATTCAGAAATGTATGTATGTGTATAAGACATGCATATATACATACATTCATACACATGAACACATACATCTGTACATGATTGCATACATACATCATTTCTGTATCAGGTCCTGATAACCAAAGCGTACCAAAAACTGGTATGGGTACATTAATTTCTCTGCTAGACATGATGCAGGGATTATGAAAGATATTTAATTGTATTAGTTTTTTTTTTTTTTTTTTTTTTTTTTTTTTTTTTTTTTTTTTTTTTTTTTTTTTTTTGCTTTCATTCATTATTCATTAAATGTGCACTGTGGGGGGGGGAGGACAGTTCTATATCTCTTGTTCTACTGGGCTGATTGACAAAATTCAAATTGCGTTTTTCATGTTCCGAAAGTATGACTTAGGATATATATTAGATATATATATAGCACTGTTCTAACATAGGTATTTTGACACAAAATCAGAGTTTTTCTGAAATAACATACCAATTCTTTTCCATATTTCGATTCTACAACTCAGATTATGCCCAGATATTAAATTTTGTAAAATTTGGTGTGAAATGTACAGAGAAATTCAAAAATTTATATTGGCAAAACTTTTTCAGTTTGGCCAAGAGTAATTCACTTGGCAACCTTGTTAACATATGGGAACCAATTTTCCTATCCCTTCCATTATGCTGGAGTAAAAAGGCACCTACCTCGTTACTACCTTTTTACATAGTTTATGAGCAGGAAAGAAGTCATATCGTTTCTACTTCCAAATAATTTCAGCAAAGTGTTTAAACCACATCTGATGTTTTATCGCTTTCAACAGATATGCCGAAAACGCCAATATATAAATTCTGAAATTTTGAATGAAAAATTGTAATTTTTTGCAGATATGCTTTGAAATATGGCTACTTTAAGATAATGGTAAAAATTTTATAGAATATATTTCAAATTTTTTTGAAAAATTTATAAAAATGATTTAAAAATACAAATTTGAAAAATAAGTCATAAAAAATGGGTTAATTTTATTTGGAATGAATCTGAATTTCGAAATGTGAAAGGAAGAATCAAATAAGCTTAATAAAAAAAGAGAGATTAATCAATATATTCCGAACTCAATTAAAATTTGAGGAGCTAAAATTTTGAGAGTTAATTTTTTAAAAACTACTTGTGTGGTTTTTACAAAACTTGGGAGTTTGGCATAATTTGAATCGTAGAATTGAAATATGGAAAAAAGTGGTATGTTCTGAAAAAATCCGATTTTGTGTCAAAATACCAATATTAGAACAATACTGTATATAAATCTAATACATATCTAAAGTCGCGCTTTTGAGATATGAAAAACACAAGTTGAATTTTATCAATCGGCCCAATAAAACCAGAGATATAGAACTGTCCCCCCCTTTTTTTTGTGCAGTGTGCATACTATTTTACATTGCTTCACAATTTTCTTATCCCATATATTTTGCTTTCTTTTAGATTATTTACTTATTTTGAATACATAAAGCTTATTATACAGATTTTTATTATCTGCATTCAAATATTTTTCAGTATATTTACCTTTCAGTTTACATAACATGTTTTATAGATTTTAAAGAAACCAAACGGGTTAGATATGTTCTTAAACTATTTATTGGAAATTGAAAATATGGTCCTTTTTATGATACATGTTCTCCTCTCATATTATCACAAATCTGAAGTTAGTGGACTAAAGAACTTAGTGTCTAACAAACTTTTCCCCCTTCATATTTGTTATTAACAACAAACAGCAGGAAAGAAGTTTTAAATAATTTTCATGTTTAGCATATTTCCAAAATAATCTTTAATGGAAAAAAAAATGAATGCTTAGTTTTCCCTTCAAAGCATTCTTTCCATTTCTTTGTTAGTATAGTAAACCCACTGAGAACACAAATTTGCATATGTGCGTTATCATAATTGTATCCATTTAATTTGTCCAATGCGAGAATTCCAATTATGTTGCAGAGTATTGGTAACATTGCGATAGTTTTCTTTAATGACTGGTTTGAAAATTCTTCATTAAAGAAGTTAAATATCACATAGAACAGCGAAACTTGAACTGTAATATTCTCCTCTACTCACTCCACCAAACTCAACTCCCTTAATCCAAACAGTGGATTAAGGAATTATAAAAACGTTCAAAGCTTGTTATGTCAGGTAGGTTTACATCTCTGCAAATAAAGTGCTAGATGAAAGAAAGCACACTAATGGCATTTTTGGAAGCAATTCAAAATAAGACACTGCATAGAAATGATTGAAGTCAAATGGGAATAAGTGAATTCATCAACAGTTAATGTTTTCTGGCATTTGCTCTGGCCTGTCAACAATTTTAAATATTTTCCACTGAGAAAAATGAAGCCAAGGAAATCATAAAAATTGCAAAAGCAATAGGCAGTGAAGGATTTTCATTTATGGAAGAAGTCAAGAATGATAATTCTGAAATAACAAATTAAGAACTGAATGATCTTATAACAGCAGCTCAACTGTGAAAGCAGTAATAGAGAGGAAGACGAAAAGCCTTTTAATGTACAAGAAGTTAAACAAATTGTTAAAAAAGTCACAGTAAGTGTCCAATTTTCTAATGCAGATTGACTTAAATGAAGTAAGAAGAAAACACTTTATGAGAAGAATTTAAAAACTGCGCTCCTTACCACAATACGTTTAATGAGTTGTATCAAGTACTGTTCCAAACAAAAATCATCAGCTACTTAAAAAAATAATTGTATTATGCACCTATTTATTAAGCAGTCATAGAAATTCTTTTAATTACCATTTGTTTCATCTTTGCTTTTTAATTACAATAATATTAAGGTTTGTATTAATTATTCATGCATTCGTAATCTAAAATATACTTAACCCGTTTTTTCCCTGGAAAGTTATCTTTGTGGAACATATTTTGCCATTCATGCAGTGTGTTAATGACATAACCCTTCTGTTTGGCAAAGCTTAACTGTATACATTTGCTTATACAGTGAAACCCCTGGAAGATTACCTATGGTCCCAGATAAATTTTACTGTTGCAATTGGTTGCACTTTATGCTGGTAAATTTTGTATGTCTTAGTGAATAAAGTCAGTTGGTGCAGAAACTTCAGTGTCTTTCTGCACAGTGGGACCAAAAGTTTACTTTCAGACTTTCAGTTTTGTCCTCCTGCCCGTTAGTGGAATTGCTTATTTTGGTGTAGAAACTAATCTTAATTACATTTTTTTCATTAGCTGTTTTTAACTGTATTTGATATTGTAGATTTATCTGTATTTCACAATTTTTAATGAAGATGTTTTGAATTTTTATGTATTTTTGCCATGCTGCCAAGTGAGAACTGAATTGATTGAATGAGAAATATATCTCTAATTAAATTCTAGTGAATAACTTTAAATAAAGTGCAGCAAAAAATGTGTGTAATTTAATAGGCTGTACTAGAAAGTCATGTGCTTCCACATCAATTTTTTTTAACTTTATATTTAGGCATTATTTATCTGGTATGGATATGGGCCAGAGTGATTATGATGGTCGCACAGCGCTTCATCTGGCTGCTGCAGAAGGACATTTAGAGTGCGTTGAGTTTCTTCTCAAAGTGTGTGGGGTTGATCATAAACCCCAAGACAGGTAAATTAAAAATGTTCCATATATTTTTTGTTTAATATATCAGTGAAGTAATAGTAACACTTTCAAAATGAATATAATGTAGTAAAAACAAAATATTATGCTGTATCATTATTATTTTAAAATATAGATTCATGTATGATTATTTGAATGCCTCAGAATGAATTAGTAAGTTTATGTTAAAGTCATTATTGGTTGTTTTAGAATTGAGTTCCAATAAAAGGTAGTAAAAGAAATTATCCTTTTTACTTTGATGAAAAGAAACTGAGAACTCTAATCTTTACATAAAATAACAAATATTTAGCTATTTCAATAATGAAATCATGTATAAATTTTTCTAAAGAAAAGATAATGTTGTTATTTAACTGTTCACAAATAACTATGTAAAATTATATAATTATTATAATAAGCATCATGGATAGTAAGCCATATACATCTCAGAGTACATAGTCTGATAATTCAGTGGTAAGTTTATATGTGTTGAGTTTAAATTTGGAATTTATGTATGAAGAGAAATAATTTCACCCAATAAGTGTTGTATGTTAGTGCCTTGATTTTTTCCCTGCTCATGAAAAGTAGAAATAAATCTATTAGACAGTGAAAATGATTTATGAAAAAATTTATTGAAATTAAATTATATTGAAAGTTTAAAATGAACAATATAAAGCATGACTTCACTCTCATGAATATATTTTATGAAATTGTGTAAAATAGTCTATAAAAATTTAGAGGTAAACTTCTTTAGAAAGTCCTTGAGAATTTTTCCCTAATTTTTTGTAGACTAGTTCAGAGATCTTTTGTAGAATTCCATAGAATTATAGATATAGCTTCTGTAGAGTTATGTACAGTTATTCTATACAGATATGTGCAGGTATTCTATGGAGTTTAATGCAGATTCTGTAAAATTTGTGCAGAGTTTCCAGAAATCCCATGCATTGAATTTTATGTAATGTTCATAGAATCAACTTACAGAATTCTACTGAAATTATCAAATTCAGTTTACAGAAAATTAGAAAATAATTCCTAAGAATTTGAAAGAAGTTCCCATGCTTTAATTTTTTTTTTTTTTTTTCAAAAGATCTTATAAAAGCTTTTAAATATATAAAAGCATTGTAAAATCAACAAAATCCTGTCTTTAAATTAAAAAGGATGAATTCAGTTTTCATTTTTGAACAGAATTTTTTAACCTTGTCTAAATTTTAATATGATCCTAGATTTGGAGGGAGAAGGGAGATAAAAATTTTGGAAACAGGTATGTTTTCTTCCCTCTAATAAAAAATTTTAGGATTGTTTTGATTTAAAAAATATTTAATTAAAAATAAATATATTTTTAAGTAATAGATAAATTTTAGTTAAAATTAAGAAACCATTTATTTATTTACATGAATAATTATTAAAAGCATTAATTTTAGAAACTCAAATTTTATGTTTAACAGCACAAATTTAATCTTTTAATTAATTTTATGATTTGAATGGGTGTTGCACTTTTGTAAGATTTAATTTTTACACAATGTAATTAACACTCCAAAAAATTGCACAAAATGTTACTTGTATTAAGAAGCTAAAAAAGGATAAAAGTAAAAAATTTCTGTTTTGAAAAAATTGAACTCCACTTACGTGTTGAAGAGAAAGTATTTAATTTTTCTCTTCTATATTCCATATATGTAGCGTATTCGGAAACTAAGTACCGTTTCATTCTAGCGCGTCGCAGCGCTGTGGTAGGCGTCCCGCGCATGCGCATTAGTCTTTCTTATTCACTGACTTTCATTTGTTGCCATTTTGGTTGCTCTATGTTGTGTTTCAGTTTGCTGTGCACATTCAAAATGTTTAAGACAATTAGTTCTCCCGCTGACTGTGAGATTCGTGCCGTGATTAAATTTTTGAACGCGAGGAATGTTAAACCGGCTGAAATTTATCGTCAAGTGACAGAAGTTTATGGTGAATATGCGATAAGTGATGGAATGGTGAGAAAGTGGGTAAGAATGTTTAATGCAGGTCGAACAAATGTCCACGCCGAGGCTGGATCGGAGGCTCGGAGTGGTCGGCCTTCTGTTGTCACCGATGATTTAGTGAGGAAAGTTGATGAAGCAATTCATGAGAACAGATGCTTCACAATGGCAACTCTTTCAGAGGCATTTCCACAAATTTCACATACTGTTTTGTTCGAAATTGTGTCTGACCGCTTGAATTATCGCAAACTGTGTTCCCGATGGGTTCCAAAAATGCTCACTGATGTTCACAAAACAAAGCGACTTGGTAGTGCCCTGACATTTCTCACGCGGTATAGTGATGAGGGAGAAAACTTTTTAAATCAAATTGTGACAGGTGATGAAACTTGGGTGTGTCATTTCACACCAGAATCGAAACAACAATGGATGGAGTGGAGACACACTCATTCTCCGAAAAAACAAAAGTTCAAAGTGACAGTGTCATCACAAAAAATCATGTGCACTGTCTTTTTGCTTACTGAATTTCTTCCCAGAGGTGAAACCATTAATGCGGCACAATATTGTGAGACTTTAACAAAACTAAGGCATGCCATTCAAAACAAACAAAGAGGAATGCTCAGTAAAGGAATTGTGTTGCTCCATGACAATGCTCGGCCCCATACTGCTGGTGTCACTCAATCGTTAATTCGACAGTTTCATTGGGAGCAGTTCGATCACCCGCCGTACAGCCCGGACTTGGCGCCGTCCGACTATCACTTGTTCCTGCACATGAAGCGCGAGCTTGGTGGCAAGCGCTTTGGATCTGACGATGACACAAAAAATGCTGTGGAGTCGTGGTTATCGAAACTGGCGGGAAGTTTCTTTGACGATGGTATACAAAAACTGGTCACCCGCTATGACAAGTGTTTGATCATTGGCGGAAACTATGTTGAAAAATAGTTTAAGACACATATTTTCATGTAAAAATAAAATTGGATTCGAAAAAATTGTTTTACTTTTTTTTTTTTTTTTTTTTTTTTTCAAAACGGTACTTAGTTTCCGAATACGCCTCGTAGTACACCAGAAATTGAGAATTTGGTTTAATTGCAACTAGAAAACTTTAAGAGATTCAATTGAATACCATTCTAGTCTTTATTGAATTTTTATAAGATTTTGTGAAGCAATATTTCTATACAATTTTGTTTTTATAAAATTTCTATTGAATTTTATTTAGAAGCATTTCCATAGATGATTACCTGTAAAATTTTATTCTGTAAAATTCCATTAGCCTGTAAATTTTTTTTTATGAGAAATTCTAAATTTAGAAATTAATTGATTATTTCTGTTTTTTTTTGGGGGGGGTGGCATTTGCAATTTCTGTCATATTACTATCAGTATCACTAAATTCTAAATAGCATTACTCTAGATGCAAATTTCATATTTTCATGCTATATATTTCATTATATGCATAATAATTGTAATATGTAATTGAATAGTTAAGCATATATATATAAAAAATGTCATTTACATGATTTTATAACAATGTGATTATTATTTCTTGAGCTTGCATCTAAAAATCCATACTTTAAAATTAAAAATAAAATTTTATTGTAAGTAAAACTAAGCAAATGCAATTTGTGATGTTAAACTTAGATGGGGACACACACCTTTGGATGAAGCCCATGCTTTTGGACATTCAGATGTTGCAGAGTTTCTGGAAAAATGGGAGTCCATGAGGGATGAAGACATAAATAATTATAAGGATGCTGATACACAATTAGCACCACGCAAGTTATCTTATACATCAGTCCAACCCATAGCCATAGAAAAGAAAATTTTGGATTAACTTCATCATTGTGATATTTAGATGTAAATAGTACAGAAATGTTTTCTAGTGCCTGTCAAGACTGAAAATGTATAGGTAATTTTAATAATAGGGGGACAAATTATGCAGTTATTTGTGATTAATTCGAAGTGTTGTGGAATAATGAAAATTATATATATATATTTTCCCCCTCTCTTCAAATTTATTTATTTAATATAAATTATGCTTTATTATTCTGCTTAAGATTTATAATTATGATTTTTTAGAACTTATTTATTTCATTTATACATTCTTTTGTTGCTCTGTGAAAATTTTCTAAAATGAACTTAAGGAATTTTAAAAAAAATATTTTAGTACAGAAGAGAGAGGCAGTCCTCAGATTGATAATAAGCATTTTGTTCATTCTTATCATTAATATCCTATATTCTTCAGATTGTAGTATTTATAATAATTTAGTAAGCTTTTAAAAGTAAAACAAAAATTATTATTTTTGTAAAGGTTATGTAAAAATATTTCTAAACTTTTTATAATAAGCAATTATATTTTAATAAGTAAATATTTTCAATTATGTTATCATATAAGGTAGGGGGGAACTATGACTTATAAAGTGATAGTAAATGAAAGTTATAGCTTTTGAAATGTAATGATTAGAAAACATTTTAATCAAAGTTAGCATAACTAGCAGTTCTGAAGCAGCATTTTTTTTAAGCTTTTATAATTTATAAAAGATGTAATGAAGTTATAAGTCTGCAAATTGTTATTATATAATTTTATGTATACAGTAATGTAAGTGATGCAGTTACATGAACAAGTAGCATAATAATAATGATAATCAAACATTTTTAAAAGCTGTAAAATATCTCCTTCCTGTCATGTTATGTTCTAATTAGATTTTGCAATGATTGTAGACATCATTTACATCAGATTAGTTAATAAGGTTTTGTTTCATAAAAATATATGCAAGTATTTTTATTTCTGAGAGTTTAATTAAAAAAATAAATGTTATCATTTCCTGATGAATTGTTAACAAAATTACTCTTTTCATATAGTGCGTTCAAAACACATATATCTTCTGCCTGTACTTGCTGTAGCCGGTGGTCATACAGAAATAATGTACATCTAAAATATTTTAATTTTTTTGCAGCTGAATGGTATTACTCACTGTCATTTACGGACCTTGATGAAAGTTACTATATATATGGTATTATTAAATAAAAATATCTGTTCTTTCTATTAAATTCTATGTTGTCGTTCATTGCTGTATCACAATATAAGGTATACTAGATTCAAAATTTGGGTATTAATGTATTAAAAATTGAGAAATGAACCAAAAATTTTTAGAATAGTGCTTATATTTACATACTTAGTTCTTAAATTCGAATACATTTTACTATTATTCATCAAAATTAGTATAAATTTGTTTATTGAAGAGAATATGGGTTTCTGAAAACCTTTATCCTTTCATTTAAAACATTTAATTGAAAAATTATAATTTATTTATAAAATGCCATTTCTTAGTAAGTATTTTTATGCACAATCTTAAGCCATTCACACCATAGCATTTTTTGGATAAAATATGAAACCCCCAAAATGGGCCATATCTTTTAAAATTACTAAATCCATTCAACTGTATAATACTGAAACAGTTTGAGGACTGCCACTGTGATAAAAACGTATAAAGAGTCTTGAAAGCTGGAATTGTAGTTATGTTTATGATGTATTCCTGCCATCTAAATATGTAAGTATGTATGAGTCTGTGATGTTCCCTTTAATTGTTTGTAGTACGTGTTTGCATTAATATCAAGAAAGTTTGTGTATCCAAATTTAGGCTTTCTTTTTCTTTGCCATGAATAGCGGACTCTTTCTTTTAAGTAGTATTGTGTCATTCTGTCTGAAAAAAAGTATTGTAAAATTTGGATGTTTTAACCCTGTAAGATTTTTAATTTGGGATTGGTATAAAAGTACAATAAGGATTATGAAAAATTATGTGTACTGGATTTTGCATTCACACATTGCATTTCAAAACAGTTTCAAAACGTAAATTTAATTTAGATGTATTATTATTTTAAAATTGTAATAACAATTTTTATGATTATCATTCATAAATTAATCTGCATATAAAGAGACTCAAATATTGGAATATATATTAATAGGTTGATAAGTGTTATAAAGGCAAAACAGATTTCTGTAAGTCATAATTTTCAACAAGTTGAACTGAATGTTTAATATGTAGAATTTAAGATCGATTAATAATGCACAATTAGTCAAGTTTTTGATTAATTGAATTTTTCCCCCTTGGCTTTATAGTTTCAACTTATATGTGATTTTCTGGTGTAAAATTAAGAGCATCATTTCTTGTGTAAACAGCACATAAAACTAATTCTAGCTTCAAATTAGTTGTGCACTTATTAAAAATAAACTCAAACTGGATTTATTAGACTATTCATCTGAAAGTTGATATTATACTTTCTTATATTTTTATATTTATACTGAACATTTTATATAAATATTCAGTATATCTTTACACAAACATTCTTTTGGGGTATATAAGTAGTTTACATTGTATATATACTTTTAGAAAGTTCTGATTTGATATAAGATTTGTGTTTGTTTTTCCATCAAAGTTTAGTTTAGTTTTTTTAAGGATCTAAATTTTTAAAATATGCTTTTGCATTTGCCAAAATTTATGAAATTATTCAGAAAGAAGAAAAAAGAGAAATTATATATTGTGGCTCCAAATTTTTACTATTAGGATATTTGCTGTTAGCACATCAGAGGGGCTGCATACAAGATATAGAGATTTGGATTTGATTTTTTTATAATAAATTTTTACATTGATATACTTATTTCATTGTTTTTCTTAGTTCTTTTTTAACCTCTTAGTAGTTATATCTTTAGAGGTTTTATTGAGAATTCTGTTTAGTTGCTTAATCTTATTTTTCATATTTTTTTTATGTTTATGTTAATGATCTCGGCAAATACTGTCTTTGTTATACTTGTTATTTCTCTTATTATTGTAATGGTCTCTAAAATTATTAATAGGGAATAAAATCTTTTTGATAATGAGTTAACAAAGTTTGTAGAAGCTTCATTGAATGAATATTAAGTCACGGCATCATTTAAATGATTAATTTATTTGCCAAAGTATATAAGCATTTTGCCTTCTTGTTTGATTATTTTTATGGAAAATTTGTTGTAGTTTTCTGGAGAACAATGGTGAAATTTTTTAAAAAAAAATATGAAAGCATGTTGCCAAGATGACAAGATGTGTATCTAAGCTAGTTTTATCTCTCTCTTCTAAATGCACAAATTTAAGTTGTAAAAATTGTGTAAAAGAAGGTGTATACATATATTCATTAGAAGTAAAAAATGTATTCTTTTCTAAAAGTTTTATTTAATATCTGATAAATAAAATGACATGAGAATCATGATCTTTAGAAATGGAAATAATTTTCCTCAAGCTTCTTGTCCATTTATTAAAGTAATGCATATCGTGTCTGAATTAATGTTTGTTGATAACAATCTGTGTTCTGCATAATAAGACAAAACATAAAAACAATTTAATATCACATATTTGCTTTATAATACAGAATATTTATTATAAAATGAATGTGTTGCTCATAAACAGGCCTTTATTTGGTTAATATTCCTAATGACATTTTGTTACCATTCTTTTTTAATATTCAAAGCAATTAAATTGTAATGACTGATATGGCTGATTATGGTATAATTATTACAGTATTTTAAGAAAAAATATATTCAGGGCAGTTTATATGCATGGAATTATTTATGTTTATTGAAAAAATAAAAAATTCTCCCTTATCAGAAAAAAAGTTTAAAGAATTAGCTTAAATGTTTTTTAAAACATTATATCGTATATAATTCAGAATGAATATTTAAATTCATTAAATGGTTAATAAATATAAATCCTGAAATTTTGTATGGTTCCTATGATCTTAAAATATATTCATGGCTTGTATTTTAAGATCTAGTTACATTGTACATGGGTTTTAAGATTGTATAAGTGTGTACCTTATACCCTGTTACCTAATTCTAAGTAGGCAGTATTCTTTGTTCACTTATATCTGTTATTGGTGAGTGTAACTAAATGAGGATAAAACAGGTATCTCAGTCATTTTAAAAATGTTGAAAGTTTTGAATATAATCACAGTATTATTTTAATGATAAACAGTGGCTCTTATCTGAAATTTGAAGTTATTTGAAATTATTTAATCAGCATTGAGTTCTATAATTAATAATCCCTAAGATGTATATATAATCAAAATTAACTCATCAGCTCGTTATGTCCAACTGTAACTCGGATGATTTTAAAATTTGTGTTACTAAAATATATGTGAACATGTACCGTTTGAGCATCTGCTAAACATTTTTGTAAATTTTTCAAGATTGCTAAATGAATAACTATTCATGTTTTCATTTTTAAAGTAAGAAATATTCAAATTTGAATAACCAACAATAAAAGAAAAATATTGTTTCAGAAGGAGTTTCACAAAATAAAACAAGTGTTAAGGGGTTAAAAAAGTGATTTCTCAGGAAATTTACGATTTTGCTTTGAGAGAAAATTCTGATTTTTGGCACTGATATTGTTGTGAACTTTATATGTTTATATTTATGCACACAACAAAATCAGTAACACAAAACTTCTATTTTCTAGACTTATTTTACATTTGCGAGCTAAAATTTTTATCTCATTCCTTTATTTATGGTTTATACCGGTATATTTATTTTTGATGCATAATTTCTGCTAAAATGCAGCAGTTGAAGTGATGCTAATGCTTGTTACTTTGACTTAGATTTAAATAATATTTAGATTTTTTCTTGTATTTTAAAGTTGCAATGATCCTTGTTTTCACATTCCCTTATCTTTGGCATGAGAAATACCATCTTTGTTAAATAAATTTAATCTTGAAAATAATGTGTATTATCAAATGACACTTTGATTATTCATATCAGCATTCATTAAAAAAGTTGTATTTGCTTAATATCTGTAATTTTCTATTTTTTTAATAATAGGCTATAATTTATAATAAACTGGGTGTTAATTTTTCAGCTACATTCAAAGCAAATGTGTATTAAAATATTATTATGTTGACCTCATATGGGGGAATGCATTTCAATTAAAGATACTTAATATGTAGGTACAGATATTTAAATCTAGAACTGAAAATAAAGTTTTTTAAAATGCATTATAAGTGCACAGTTCCAGAGGAAATTATTGTAGTATAAAATATTTGTAATAACTTAATCTGATTAGCATATTTTTTATGTTAATGAAAGTAAATTTCTCTCTTTTGCATTTTTGTGGCCTAAACGAAAGTTTTACAAAAAGGATATTGCTATAGTCAAAGTATTAAAATGGCAGTGTAATGGTTTTTTTGTAAGCATTGCTTCAACTGCTTTCATCTTTATCAACATGTAAAAGTTTTGTAAAGGTGTTAACTTATTCTTTGTAAATATTTTTATATTTTTATTATTATATTTATTTATTGTATCTATTATTTATATTTTTTATTTTTATTTTAACCATTTTTGATCGTAGAAATTAGACAAGTGTCTGTGATTTTAATATTTGTATTTCTGTGATATTGTTCTAGACATTTGCTTATCCTAACCTCTTCCATTTTTTGTTTCTCATTCTACAAGCTATGTAACATTATTATTTAATTTATATTGTGATATTCCATTCAATAATTGTTATAAATTTACAATTTATCTAGACCCTCTAAAGCAGCAATACCTGTTTGCACCTTTCGTAAAGCACTAGTCATTTTTTCCTTGTTATTTTATTGTATTTTAACATGTTATATGGAAATAAAAATACTAATGTTGATTTGTTTGTGATGAATCTGGAAATTTAAATCAATTTTCAATTACTATTGAAGCAAATTTAACAAGTACTGTTCATTCACAATTGTTGGATATCCCGCTGGCGGTTCCTCCTTTTCTGTTATTAAATAATGAAGAATTTGTAGTAAATGGTGGCACTTAGAGCCCCAAGATTTTGAACACAAATAGTCCTGAACCTGAACATGTACATCTTAAAGGCTGTTTTTTTTTTTTTTTTTTTTTTTTTGTGTGTGGTGTGTGTGTGTGTGTGTGTGTGTGTGTGTGTGTGTGCACGCGCATGTGTGTTTTTATTTTGTTTTATGCTAACTTAATTAAATTTTGATTGAGGAAATTGGTGTTTTAAAAAAATGTATTGCTACTTGACAAAGTGTAAAATATCATTTGAAATTTAATCAGAAACTCAATGATTTAAAAGAAATGTATTGCCATTTGGCAAAGCCACTTCTAAATTTCATTAACAAACTCAGTGTTTTAAGAGAAATGTGTTGCCACTGCCAGAAATAAAATATTTTTATCTTCTATCTGCCCACATATTGCCATTCAAAGTGTAAAATATCTACTTTTTCCCCTAAATTAAACTGTGTATTAATGATTAACAAATTAAGTAATTTCTTAGGGAAACTAAAGGATAGTGATAAAAAACAGTGTCATTCTTCATCTTTATTGTTGTTATCAATTACTGGTTGGATTCATGAAATTACAGCAGTTAGATTTATTGAAATCATTATATATATATATATGGCAAGTTGCTCCAAATAATCCAGATATGGTTTTATTGGATTCAAGTTTTGAGACTGATTGTATGCCAATAATACAAAACTCCAGCCTTGTGTACATGAAAGTTGTCATTTTAGATGAAAAGTTGCTTTTTGCTTCTGTGATGGAGATCATGCACAAAAGCTTTTCAGTTTCTCTTAGAAGCTTTGTGTAATCCTTCTTGTTCCAGTGCATAATTACATCAACTAAAGAAACATTTTTCTTGAAGTATCATCAAAGAGCTGCTTCCAAGTTAATGAATGCTATTTTGGTACTTTGTCCTGTAACATTACATTGACTTTAACGATGTACTCAACAATCCATAAAGTCAAATAGCAAATGTCGTAAAAATCACATTTAATTTTTTACCACACCATGCTTCCAAACTTTTCTCTTGTTCAAGCTCAACTGCAGTGTCTCAGAAAAGGTGATTGGACACTTTGTAGAGTCATTAGGATATTTTTGAAAGCAGGAAACATGAAAAATGAGCAATACCCTCGCTGGGACTCGAACCACGGACCTCTTGAATACACGCCAAGCGTGTTGACCACTACACCATGAAGGCATGCTAAGAAGGTGGGAGAAATACCTTATAACATGATCTCCATAAAGTATGTAGAAAAAGAAAAATTTGAAAGGATTCATATTATAATGCTCACCCAAAAGGGTTTATTAAGGTATTTTTATGCTCTCACTGAGCTTGCAACTTACCTTGTTTACTATTGTTAAACTCACTCCTGCTAATCCATTTCATTTTGTCTGTTTAGCTTTATTATTAACCATCATTTTATGCCATATACAGCTCAACAGCAAAATTTAAAAAAAAAAAAAAAATTAAAAGCAGCACAGCGGTTTAGAATTCCTGATGCAGTATTATCTTTTCACATGCATTTTTCTATTTTTTTTCCCCCCTCATTCATTATATCAATGTTCAGTTTTCTTAGTAAGATAGTGTGCAAAACTTTTTTGTTTTTTTTATTATGAATGCTTTGTGTGTTAACTTTATTAACAAAATATCATATTCTTTCCTTTTATGCCACATAAAATTCAATTCAGCAGCAAAATCACAAAAATTTAAAAACAGTGTATCTTCAGAATTTCTGACCCTCCTTACTGCTTTAAATAATAATAAACAGAATAAATTGTAAAATAAAAAGTAATTATAAAGCAAAAATCTTTAAGGAATACTGAGTTTATTAAAAGATGTGCTGTAAAAATGGCATCTTCATTTGGACATAATAAGAAAGCTAGAAATTTTGAAACAGTGTTGTTGTCCCATTAGAGAGTAAGTAGAAGAATTAATGGTATGGGTAGTGAAGTTTCAGGTACTATCAAGGGCATTTTGAAAAAATGTTAATTTTATGCTCAAGGTGTCAGCACAGATATACCTGACATCAGCCAGCTCCTTATCTTTGTCAAAACAATAAATGAAGAATTTGAAATTCAAGAACTGTTGGAATTAAAATCATTAGAAACTAGCACCAAAGGTATTGATATATTCAACGCACCAGATAATGCCATTTCTAAATATGGAGGTTTCGAGAAATGCTCTGGCATTGCAACAGATGGAGCTAAGGCAATGGTTGGTCATAGAACTGGGTTAGTAGGACTGTGTAAAGGAATAGACTGTTTGTTTTTCCTCTGCATTATCCACCAGGAGGCTCACTGTGGAAAAATTATAAGGCTCAATGAGACAATGAAAACTGTTATAAATATTGTAAATCTAATAAGGGGAGGGAAAGCTCAGAGATAGAGCATTTATTGCATTTCTGGACAGTTTGGATGCTGAATATGCTGACATTTTTTTGTACTGGCTAAGTGCTGAAAATAGTCTGCAACAGTTTTTGGGTTGAGGAATGAAATTCTTGCTTTCCTCAAAAAAGAAAACATTGGGCATGAGTATCAAGAAATATTGGAAGAAATCCAGTTTTTAAATAATCTTGTTTTTCTGACAGATTTAACATACCATCTGAATGCTTTAAACATGAAACTACAAGGCGGAAAACAAAATTCATCCCAGCTTTTATGGACGTATTGAAGGCTTTTGCAAAAACCTTAATGTAAAGCTAATGGCACTGAAGGCCAATAATACAGACTATGTAGAAAATGACACATATTTTAGTAATCTTCATGAAGGAGTTACTGATATCAAGAAAGAGTTCCAGAATTTTGACTTTCATTGTTGAAAACAAAACTTTCATTGTTAAACAACCCCATGGGGATTGAATTAAGCGTGGTGCCTTGCGACCTTCAAATGGAAATCTGTGATCTTCAGGCAGACCCATTCTACCAAACTAAAAAGTGTGATGTCACTGAAGATTTCTGGAAACTGATTTCTAAAGAACGTTTTCCCAAACTGCATAAATTCTCTTTGCAAATGTTATTGCTGTTTGGCAGTACATATGTGTGTGAAAGTGCTTTTTCTGCTGTCAAACAAATTAAATCAAGAACGAGAGATCGCATTGAAAGTACTTCACTGGAATCGAGCCCGAGACTTTGCCTTACTGAAACTACAGTGGACATTGATAAACTTGTATCAAAAAAGCAGTGCTAATCATCACATTGATTTCTAGACTGTAAAATAAAGTGATATAGTATTAAACTAGTGATTTATATGTAATTCATTTTCTTTTTTTAATATCTCTGGCCTTCACTTTACTATACTAACGTTTGATTGACCCTCGGGTAACTAAAGGTTGGACCACATTGAAATAGATAATACAACAAATTCCAAATTCCTGCCTCCAGGTCCCCCTATTGTAGTCGAGGACAACTTATTGAAAATCTGATGTCTCTAGGTGCCGCTGTCTTTTGCAGCGCGACAAACATACATACATTCATGCAGATTCCTCATTATTTAATTTCTTTAAATATAAAGTGGGGCTCAAATATTTGGTGGTAACAATTTGAAAAATGAACCAATATTTATAGTAAACCAACGCAAAATGCCAAAACGAAATTAATAGCCCTACCGGGCTAACACCCTTTGGCTTTGGGGGGGGGAGAAAAAGGGAGCAATTTCTATATCTTTTCCTTTTCACTGGGGGCGATTCACGAAATTATTTAACCCGTTTTTTATGTTTCGAAAGTGCCGTCCAGACGATATAGTGGGTAGAGAATTCGAACCCGGGGCTTCGGTACCGAAAGCCCCGGGTTCGAATCCCGGAAAAGGCATGGTTGTAATTGTCCGTGCCTTCATGGGAGGCAACTGTGGCCATCTATTAGTCGCCTCTACAATAAAATGGCCACCACTGCTGGCATTAGGAGTGGCCAATGGTGAATAGGCAAACGGCCGCCATTGGATTAAAAAAAAGTCGAAAGCGCGACTTAAAATATATATTAGATTTATGTTTAGCATTGTTCTGACGTAGGGTTTTTGGCACAAAATCGAACTTTATCTGAAATGATATACCGATTTTTTTCATACTTCGATTTTACGGCTCAAATTATGTATAAATGTTAAAATTTGGTTATTAATTTACAAAAAAAATTTAAATTTATTTTGGCGTACTTTTTTTCAATTCGCGGCATACTACGGTCGGAAGTGGTGGTGATTTTATTATAAAGGCAACAAGTCCTGGATAACAAATAGGCGATCCACTGTTGCCTGCTATGAGGGGACAGATAATTTACATTCATTTTCTTCTCCGGAATACGAAACCGGCCACTTCGGTACGGCAGTCAGTGTCACTAAACACTTCCCCAGCTATGCGGTCGTGGAAAATTACCGTTCATTGTGTACGAATAGAAAAAAGTTGCATTATTCATTCTTTCAAATAATTTTATCAAATCCCGTAAACCACGTGTGATGTTATTATGGTTTGTAACAAACATACCAAGTTTCAAAACGCTCTAATTAGAAAGTCCTCCCCTTAGGCAGATAGCCCTAGTGTGCTTTGCCATAATTAAATACACCACACCAAAACGCTCTAATATGTGAATTCATTTATATCTTGAAAAATTTTGAATAAAAAACTAATTTTTCGGAAGTGAGCCTAGAAATACATCTACTTTAAAGTGATGATAGAACTTTTGTATTAGTCAGAATTTTTTTCGAAAAATTTATCAAAATTACTAAAAAATATTAATTTTAAAAATTAATCATAAAATGTCTTGAATTTTTCTTGGCTTAAATTGAAATTTCGAAATGTGAAAGAAGAAACTAAATAAATTTAATAAAAAAAAAAGAGGTATTACTAAATATATACCAAATACAATTAACACTGAGGAGATAAAATTCTAAGAGCTAATTATTTAAAATCTACTCGTGCGATTTTTACAAATCTTGGCAATTCGAGTCGCAGAATCGAAATATGGAAAAAAACTCTGTCTGGAATTACAGAAAAAGTTCGAATTTTTTTTCAAAATATCTATGTTTGAACAATGCAATATATAAATATCCGAATATATATATATCCGAAGTCTCGCTTTCGAGACATGAAAAACGAAACTTAAATTTCGTCAGTTGGCCAGTAACAGAGATACAGAACTGAGCCTTTTTTTGTGTGAAGAGTATACTTTGAATCAGAATTCTAGCAACCAAATTAAATTCAAAATGAATGCTATGGCGTTTGTTACTTACGTGTAATGATAATTAAGTCAGTTATGCAAATGGTATTTTCTGTATAATGCAGGAAAACTAGAAAACACTGGCACAATGTCTAAAGGAAAGACAGTTGTTACTTTTTGGATTACTTCTTTTCCTTACGAACAATTTTATAGAGGCTCATACAGTTCTGTATAAATTTCTATAGAACTTATATGTAATCCTTTATAAAAATATTTTTGTATAAAATTGATAGCTACTTTATAAAGCTTTCACAAAACATAAATTTATAGGAATGTTGCTTTCCAAAAGGCTAAAAATATCGTATAAAAATTACTCAAAAATCATATAGAAATTTTATGAAACTTTTAGAGAATGTTATTGTATAGAAACTCTTAAGTTTTCAAAGTGTTGCCATAGAAAATTTTCAGTTTATGATGTATAACATGTGTAGTTATTTGCATTTATTTGTCGTTATTTACATTAACTGAAATTTTCGGGATATAGAACAGCAAAAATAAACACTTTTTATTCCATAGTGTTGAATAATTTTTCAGTGGATGTTTTTGCCATTTTGTTCTGGGTTAACATTTATGGCATTTTGTGCAATTTCTTTGTTAAGTATTACTTTTGCAATACAAAAATTAACTGTCGTAAAAGAATAAGGGAAATATATAGCATTTAAATCATACAATCAATCAAAATAATAAATTTTATGTTGTTAAATTAAAATCTTAAAAGGAATTCTTTTAATTATTGTATATATGCCTTTGATTAGAGAAATGATTCCTTAATTTTAATTCTTAAAATGAACGCTGTTAATTATTTTATACCTCTTGTAGAGACATTAGGTTATTTCGAAGTAAGAGAGATGAAAGCTAAGCTCTCGCCGGGAGTGGAACTACGGACCTCTCGAATATGCTTCAAGCGTGCTGACCACTACACCACGAAAGCACGCTAAGAAGGCGGAAGAAATACCTTATACTCTGATCAGATAAATGATTTCGTAATATTAATTAAACTTAACTATTATTTAAAACCTTAAAACAATATTTTAAAGTTCTACTCGACAAAAATCATCATTTGCTCAAAAAGTTTATATCTCCATCCTTCTGTGTTACAGATAATTTCAGAACTTAGGTTAAAAAAATTCTGTTTTTAAAATGGGAACTAATTTGTTTCTTTAATTCCCAAAGAAAATTTTGTTGATTCTGTAATGCTTTTAAATAATCAAAAATCTTTTATAAATTTTTTTATAGAAAACTAAAGCAAAAAAACTTGTTTAGAATTATGACACAGTTTTCTGGGTATGAGATTTTCAATAGAGTTCTATTAGTTCTGTCCTTGTCGTATAAAATCTGCACGTCTGACCTTTAGAAACGCTGTAAAATGTTCATAGAATCTCTGCACGAATCTTTATAGAGTATCTACACATATCTCTACAAAATCTCCATACGCACTATACAGAGGTTGTTCACACATTTTTAGGTGATTTTGCTTTGCTTGTAATAAAAATTCTTCCGCTTGGAATTTTGTTTTAATCGCAACTATATTTTTAAAGGATAAATTATCGACTGCTACTTGACAGTTTTGTTTTCAGGCAAAATGTCGCTTTTAAAGAAGCAATGGATAGAAGGCTATGCTTGTGTTCTTTCCGAAGAAAATGATTCGTATCTATACTATTAAAATCTGTGTGCCTCTGTCTGTTTGTTTGTGTGTTTGTAACATCATCTCCTCCGGGAAACGGCTGGGTGCCCAGAGCTTAGCGGAAGGTACCGTTGGATCGTCAGGAATGTCCGTGGCTCGCCGGATTGGACCATCGGCATCTTCGTGCGACTTTAATTAGCCGAGATATTAATTTAAAAACTAGATTTTCTCCCTACTTTTCCCTACGTTTTGCACTTTCTTTCACGGGTTTCCCCTATTTTAGGGATTTGGCTGAGTGCCAAATTTTGTTTTTCTCGAATATCTACGGAACGGCGCAGAGTTGCGAATTCGAAACGCATATCCGCGGATTCCAAAAAAATCAACGAAATCCATCGATACCGGTCCCATCTTCGTACGACAATAATCGGCGGAGTTATTAATTAAAAACTGCGAAAACGTTATTTCATTTTTCGGAGTGGCAACAGTCTTCGGGAATTAGCTGAGATAAAATCGGACTTTTCGAAAGCGCCAGGGGGGATGGGGACAAACAGCTGCTTCCGCTCGAGATTTGTGCTGGCGAAAAGGTCACGTGGTCCAATTTCTTTTTTCCTCAAATATCTATGGAACGGCGCTGAGTTGGAATTCGAGACAGGTGTCTGCGGATTCCAAAAAATTCTCGAATCCATTGATACCATTCTCATCTTCGTAGGACGTTCAATCAGCTTTAGATATTAATTAAAAACTGTTAAAACGCTAGATTTCGGGCTCATTTTTCCGATTGCTAACAGTTTCTTGAATCGCCGCAGATAAAAATCAAGGTTAATATTCTGAAAGTTGAATAAAGCACGCGATTGCATGTTACCTAACTGTATTTTAAAAATATTTCGTTAATGTAGGCATTTTAAATAAATAGCTGCTTTTCACAATTTTTTTTTAATTTCAGGTTAGGATGATTGTCACGTTAATTCTTTTATTGATATTGAATAAAAGTTAATTATATTACATTAAATTTAAATGATGACGTTCTTGAAGTTGTACACTTTTAATCAGCTGAGATATTAATTAAAAAATCTGAAAGCGCTATTTTTTTAAAATATGTTGTTATTTTTTTAATAATAAATTTGATTTTTTGGAATAATATATTTTTTATGTTATTAGATACGTGCACTTAATTAAGATATTATCTTTTAATGCAAATGATATTTTAAATAAGTTCGCACCAATAAAAATTAAATTCACACTTTTTTTTTTTTTTTTTTTAGATTAAAGATTTTTTTCTTTGCTCCTTTGAGATGGTATACGGTAACTTTCGAATCCCGGTGAGCAGGCAGGCTACACTCATGTTTTTTTGTGATTTTACGCATATCTGTTGTGTATGCAGTGTCTTCTGGATGCATAAATGAATAAAGCTGAACTCTGGTAGTTCGGTCCTAATTTCGAATCCCGGCGAACGGGCTGGGTCCATGGGTGTTTGCGTGATTTTACGCATGTGCCTCGTGTACGCAGCATCTTCTGGATGCATAAGTGAATAAAGCGGCCGAAATTCGCTCAAAACCTCTGATTACTGGTTAGTTCGGTCCAACTTCGAATCCAAGCGACCGTGTTGGCTCAATGTGTTTTCGGGATTTTCCGCATGTGTAACGTGTATGCGGTATCTTCTGCATGCATACTTGAATAAAGCGGGAGCAGCCCGCGCAAAACTACAGAACACTGGTAGTTCGGGTCAACTTTCGAATTCCGGGGTACTGTACATAAAATTTGGTCGCATACGTGAATACAGCGCGCGGATACCGGGTAAAACCGCTGAACACTGGTAGTTCGGTCAAACATTCGAATCTCTGCGAGCGGGCTGGCTGCATGGGTGTTTCCGCATGTGTATAGTGTATAAAGTGATTTCTGGATGCATATGTGATAAAAGTGGGCGCAGCCTGCTCAAAACCTCTTAACGCTGGTAGTTCGATCCAACTTTCGGTGTCGGCGAACGAGCTGGCTCCCCGGGTGTTTTCTTGCTTTAACTCATGTGTATCGTTTATGCAGTATCCTCTCCATGCTTATGTGTATAAGCGGGCGCAGCCCGCTCCACAAAATCGCTGAACACTGGTATATTCGGTCCTACTTTCGAATTCCGGGGTACTGTATATAAATTTGGATGCATACGTGAATACAGCGCTCGGATACCGGGTAAAACCGCTTGAACACTGGTAGTTCGCTCAAACTTTCGAATCTCGGCGAGCGGGCTGGCTGCATGGGTGTTTCGTGATTGTTCGCATGTGTATCGTTTATAAAGTATCTCATGGATGCATACGTGAATAAAGCGGGCACAGAATACTGGTAATGCGGTTCTGGTAATGCGGTAATTTCGAATCCCGACGAACTGGCTGGCTCCATGGGTGTTTTCGTGATTTTACGCATGTGTATAGTGTATGGAGTATCTTCTGGGTGTATATGTGAATAAAGCGGGCAGAGCCCGCGCAAAGCCACATAACACTGGTAATTCGGTCCAACTTTCGAATACCGGCGAACAGGCAGGCTCCATGTTTGTTTTCGTGATTTTACGCATATGTATCGTTTATGCACCATCTTCAGCATGCATACGTGAATAAAGCGGGCACAGCACGCGCAAAATCGCTGAAAAATTGTATTTCGGTCCAACTTTCGAATCGGCAGCGGGCTGGCTGGAGGGGTGTTTTCGTGATTTTACGCATGTGTACGGTGTACGCAGTATCTTTTGCATGCACACCTGAACACTGTTTTGGGCGGGCTCCCGCCCAAAAGCGCTGAACACTGGTATTTCGGTCCAAATTTCGAATACCCGCGAAAGGGCTGGAAGCATGGGTGTTTTCGTGATTTTCCGCATATGTATAGTGTATGCGGTAACTTCTGGATGCATAGGTGAAAAAAGCGGGGGAAGCCCGCGGAATGCCGCTAAAAAATGGTAGTTCGGTTCAACTTTTCAGTACCGGCCAAATTTAACATAGGATATCTTTTAAAAACGAACAATGATAAGCGGGCTTCAGCCCGCTCAGCTGGCGGGCTTGCCCGCTAGTCTAGTTATTAAAATACGTTGCGAAAGCCATAGTTTTTCGATAAAGAATAAGAGGTATCAAATAGAACATTTAAAATAGAAATTTTAGGTAAAATATTTCTATAATTACAATGAAAATCTTCTAAAAAAATCTGATGTGTAAACCACATGAGTTCTTTGCACGGAATATTAAATTATACGCAATTTTTCTTGCATTTCATTTAAACTTATTGTATTGAATTAAATGTACATCGTCGATAGCGCATAAACCACAATAGAATAAATGCACTTTTTAATATTCACTATATTTGTTTACCATAGCGACACTCTGGCGCTAGGTTCACTTAACAGCGTTACATTTCTTTCATAGTATAACTCAGAATGAACAAAATTTATATCATTTGAAGAATTATCTAGTCGTTGCCACATGTTCTATTCAAATACTATAATAAATCTAGAACGATGTATAAAAGAAATTAAGCAAACGAAACAAAAAAAGGAGACAATTTTTCACAGACGATTCAGTATTTCTATATTATCGTTTCAACTTCGCGACAAGCAAAAATATAAAAACTCAAATCCCTAAAATCGGTAATCAAAAAACTATTTAAAAAATTAGGGAAATGATTAATCGTTTTGAAGTTCAGTTTGTTGTTCTCTAATGACGATTGAACAATATTTTGACTCTAATATTTTTGTTTATATTTTTTTCTAACTGCAGCTTCTGAGTAATATTGCACGAGCTTCAAGCAGATGTAATCGTTTTCTTTACTCTATAGGTTTTTTTTATTCATTATCTATTCATATTATTATTATCTATGTTTTGTAACAGTTTATGTTTCAGAGAATGGCAACATACTATGATGTTGTTCTTTTTAGAGAGTTAAGTGTAACTTTTGTTTTCATCATTTGAGAGTATGAATAAAAGAACTATTTAATTATTGTAGAGTCTTAAATAACTAAAGAGATATAGATAGTTATTTTCTAGTAATAAATAGTTCTTGAGGTAACAAATTTGGTGAGAATTTTTTGAACATTTGGCGTCCGCTGACTGGACTGTTATCTGTAAGTAGAATTCTTTCGTTTATTTATAATGGATGTTTTGAAGTGCAAACGATCTCAATTTAGGAGATTGTTTACAAAAGCTTTAAATGATTTTGAGAAGAATGAAAATGATTTATCTTTAGACGGAAAAATTTCGAAACTTAAATTAGTTGAGGACAAAGCAAAACCTATGATTGAAATAGAACAGACTTATAGAGAAGAATTGATTAAAATTGAAAAAGATGAAACTGTGATAAATAACGAGTTTGATGAGTCGGAATGCTATATTGATAAGTGGAGAATGGTAGAAAGTAAATTAGTTTCGCTTTTAGCTGAAAAGGAAAACGGTTCTGTTGTTAATGAAAGCTTAACTCAAAATGCTACTATTCGTTATCCTAAGCTTAAACTTCCGATTTTTGATGGGAATATTAAAAGCTGGTTAGGATTTTGGGGCCAGTTTAAAAAGATCGATAATGATCCCAATTTAGATGATCATGATAAATTTGCATATTTATTGCAGTCTATGGAAAAAGGGTCATCTGCTGAAGAGTTAATCAAAAGCTTTCCGCCCGGTGGCGAAAGTTATAGTAAAGCTTTAGAACAACTGCAATCGCGTTTTGGGAAAGAAGACCTTCTTATAGAAGTCTATGTTAGAGATCTACTTTCGTTAGTATTATTAAAAAACTCTCAGCAGAAATTTTCATTACGAAAACTCTATGATAACTTAGAATCGAAACTAAGAGCGTTAGAAGTTCTGGGTGTTGCTAGAGATAAATATGCGGCGATGTTATATCCTCTAGTCGAATCGTCATTGCCGGATGATACATTAAGAGCATGGCAAAGATTCCGAGTTATTAATCGCAGTCAGAGAGAATCTGAAAGTAGTGAGCAAAAAGAGAAAAATGCGTCAACACATCGCATGGATTTAGATGGTTTGCTTTCATTTTTGCTCGATGAAATTGAAGGTGAAGAGAGAGTATCTATAGCTACTCAGTGCTTTACTAAATATCAGACACCTAAGCCTGGGAATGCTAAACACTTTGGTTTCAAAAACCGTGGAGAATTTTCCAAAACACCTTCTGCTTCTACTCTAATAGCAACATCTGAACAAAATTCAACTGGATGTATTTTTTGTGCTGGAAATCATGCATCTGGTGATTGCGTTTAAAGCAAGAAAGATGACGTCTGAGGAAAGGCAAAAAGCAGTTCTAAATAGTCGCAGTTGCTTTTTATGTTTAGACAGAAAACATGTAATAGCTAAATGTAAAAAAAACGAACATCGTGTGTGATTTGTGGGAAGAAACACCACACATACTTTTATGTAGAAATATCCAAGCTGAATCAAAATCTCCAGTTCCTGTTAGCACGAATAAGGATGAAAATACGGATGCAGTACCTGAACGAGATGAAACCCTCGCCAATTTGGCGAGAACAACAAATGTGTTTTTGCAAACTTTAACGGTTACATTGAAAGGGCGAGATAGAAAGCGCCAGGCCCGTGCTATTATCGATTCAGCTTCACAGAGATCTTATATTTTAAAAAGCACTGCAGATGAAATGAAATTTGAGAGTACATCTAAAGAAAGATTGAGCCATTCATTATTTGGCGGGTCATGTACTGATGTCATAAACCACGATGTTTTTACAGTGTTCTTGTCTAAAACGGATGGAACTTATCATTGTAACTTCAAAGCTCTTAGCCAAGATATTATTTGTGGAAGTATACCACCAGTTGCTAATGGCGAGTGGATTCAAGAGCTTAAAGAGAACAATATATCCGTATGCGACGATAGTAATGGACCAATAGAAATACTTATTGGCGCTGACATTGCAGGCAAGTTGATGACCGGAGGATTTAAATTGCTTACTTCAGGCCTTGCTGCTATAGAAACAAAACTTGGTTGGACTCTTTTCGGGAAAAATGGTATGCGTGAGATCTCGGACAATTCCGCACTGCTCGTCACATCCATGTTGAATAAGGAAATATTGATATCCGATCTATGGTCTCTAGATTCACTTGGAATTCTAGATCCATCAGAGAAGAAAAGTAAACTGGAACTTCAAGAAGAAGCAAGAGATCATTTCTTGTCTACTGTAAAGGTGAACGAAGAGGGGCGTTTTCAAGTCAGCTTGCCATGGCTTGATAACCATCTACCGTTAAAAGATAACTATGACTTAGCTGTAAAGAGATTAGCTTCTACAGTAAAACGACTAAAAGCTGAGAAACTTTATGATGCTTATGGAGAAGTTTTTAGTGAATGGGAACAAGAAGGCATCATAGAAGAAGTACCAAAAAGCGAAATTGATGTAACATGCCATTATCTACCACATCGACACGTAGTAAAAGAAAACAGTACTACACGAATCAGGCCAGTGTTTGATGCCTCGGCCAAACAAAAAGGATCCCCTAGTCTCAATGATTGTCTAGAAAAAGGTCAGAACCTTATCGAACTGATTCCTTCAATTCTTCATAGATTCCGAATGAACAGAATAGGAGTTTCTGCAGATATACGAAAAGCATTCTTACAAATAAGTCTCAACCCTAAGGATAAAGACTATCTAAGATTCTTATGGTATAGAACTGATGGAAAACTGAAGTATTACAGGCATTGTAGGGTAGTATTTGGAGTTACAAGCAGCCCTTTCTTGCTAGTTTCTGTAATTCACCATCTTCTAGAATCCACTTTGAAACAACTAAATGGAAACCCAAAGTATAAAGTGGATATTATTGAGCAATTGAAGAAGAGCTTTTATGTAGATAATTGTTTAGCGAGTGTGAAAAATGATTTAGAATTGCAACAATTCATACAAGTTGCTTCAGATACTTTAGCTACAAGAAAGCTAGAATTACGTGGTTGGGAATATAGTGACCCAACAGATAATTCCTCTAGTACCACAAATGTATTAGGAATGATTTGGGAACGATGTGGAGATTACCTTTGCCTTAATATTACTAACATCACCTACAGTCTACCAGAAATTTTGTCTAAAAGAGAGATTTTAGCTACTACACACAAAATATTCGACCCTTTAGGAATAGCTTGCCCCGTAACTCTTGTGCCGAAACTTTTACTTCAGCACCTATGGGAAGTTAAGTTATCTTGGGACCAAGAAGTTGATTCAAATTCAAAATCACAATTTTGTAAATGGTTGAATGATTTGCAGTGTCTGGAAAGAATGAGAATACCAAGATGGTTAAACTGTGATCGTGAGATTGAAAATATCTCACTTCATTTCTTCAGTGATGCGAGTAAACTTGCATATTCAGCTGTGGCCTTTGTTCGAGTACAAACAAGAGATTCGGTTCAAGTTCATTTGGTGCAAGCTAAAGCGAGAGTTGCACCCAGCGGAAGGAAAAAGACAACAATAGCTCGATTGGAACTTCTTGGAGCTACAATATGTGCACGTTTAGCATCCAGCATAATACCTGAATTTCAAGCTGATGATATTTGTTTTTGGACAGATTCGTCTACTGTGCTAGCTTGGATACAGAGAAATGAAGTATGGGACGTATTTGTTCACAACAGAATTAAGGAAATAAAGCAACTGACTTCTATTGAATCCTGGAGGCACGTACCAGGATCACTGAATCCTGCTGATTTGCCCAGTAGAGGATGCTCTGCTTCTTATTTAATTAAATCCAGATGGTGGGAAGGACCTAAATGGCTATATTTATCACCTGAAAAATGGCCAAAAGAAGATTTTAGTGCTGATGAAGAAGAAATAGCTCTTGAGAAAAAGAAAAGGATTATTTCGTCCTTAATAAATCTTAATGCTAGTGAAATAGTTGCTACTAGATTCTCAAGTTATCGTAAGACAATCAGACTGGTAGCGTGGTTATGCGAAGGGTTCTAATTAAGAGGAATCTTAAAATCTCCAAAAATCATTATACAAGACTTGATGCTCGAGGTTCAGAACCACTACGTCGCAAACTAAAAATAACATTCTTTTCAAGCAAGCGCCTCTAACGCATCAAATATTGGGGGATTTTCACACTCCCCACCTGATAATTTCTGCAAAAATTATCACTATTTCAGCATACAAATAATAAAATATAAGAAAGCAACTTGCATATCAAATACATTCAACTGATGTAAATATAAACTGCAAAAGGAAATTCTATAAAATAAACAAATATAGTTAACTGCATCAACTCAAATGTTACTCAATACGTAAATATTAATTCAAATTACAAACAGTAAATTATTAGTAATAACTAAACTAATTATCTAAAATTAATGTTAGTGAATATGAAATACAAGAAGTAAAATTAAAAGGTTACAAATTTAGTTCATTTTCAGTCTGATAGTTCAAAGGGGTATATCAATTGCACAGGTCTCTTAAGGTCCCCTTTTTCAGTTTTTACACACATGATCGTACAAGACCATCACGTCCTTTGAAGACTTGAATTACTCGTCCTAAATCCCAGAGGAACTTAGATTTAGTTGTTCCTTCAAGTAAAACTATATCACCAATTTTAAGATTTTTCTTGGCTTCTGGTGTACCGAAGAAGTGAGCATTTCTCAACTCAAGAAGATACTGATTTTTCCATTTTTTCCAGAACTGTTTTATAAGTGTTGTCTGATATTCTTTTCGTTTTATTAGACTCTTTCTTGTTGGAGAGTTATTCAGGACCTCAGCAAAGTTGTATGGATATTCATCCTTATGTCCGATCAATAGAAAATCAGCTGGTGCAAGCAGTTCAGGTTCATGTAAATCGTTGTAAACGTAGGTCAAAGGACGTCTATTCACAATATTTTCGACCTCTGTCAACACAGTCATAAATTCTTCAAAATTCAATTGAGCTCTGCCTTATATCTTTTTCAACGGGTCCTTTATGGTTTTCATAAGGCGTTCATAAAAAGCTCCCCACCATGGAGCAAGCTCGACGAGAAATTTCCAAGTCAAGCCTTCATTTGCTAGAAAATTTTGAAAGTTTGTACCTTTAATTATGCTGTAAAAATACTGTAAATCTTTGGCAGCATATTTGAAAGTTTTCGCGTTATCTGAATAAAAGGTGCGACAGTTTCCTCTTCTCGAAATGAAACGTCTGAGAGCCAAAATGAATTTGTTTGCAGACATATTGGAAATGAGTTCTAGATGTAACGCTCGTGTAACAGCGCACGTAAACAATACGATGTATGATTTCTGAATGTCGTTTCCAGACCTGATGTAAACTGGACCCGTGAAATCCACGCCTGTAACATAGAAAGGTGGAGTTTCAACAATTCGATCTTTAGGTAACTGAGCTGTCATTTGTTTCGCTGGTTTTACTGCGTATTTCCGACAAATTAAACAGTTCCCTAAGACTTTCTTTACCAACTGACGGCCTTTAGGAATCCAAAATTTCTGTCTTAGTTTGGCTAAAGTTGCTGCAACTCCCGCATGCAGAACGTTATTATGTTCCCTTTTTACAATTAATTCAGTAAATTTGGAATCTTTAGGAAGAAGAAACTGGATGCTTCTCGTCAACTGTATATTCGGTTTCTTCTAATCTTCCCTTAATTCGAAGAATTTTTATTCATCAAGAAACGGTGCCAAGCTGAATATATCAGAGCTTGGAGAAATTGACTTGTTAGATTGAATAGCCTTAATTTCAGGTGTGAAGAAATCCATCTGGGCTTTACGAACACAAAATATTTCAGTGTCCTGAATTTCAAAGGCACTTAATGTTCCACTATTATCAGGTAGTTTTCTTGCCTTAGCAACGAAACGTCTAACCCATGCCATAATTCTGAGATATTTCAGCACATTACTGAATTTTGTTATATCCAATAGTTGATCATCTCTTTTCACAACAACGTCATAAACAGATATCTTACTACGGAGTTCTAGTTGCTTATCGTTTCCCACGTCAAACTTCGGTTGAACTGGCCAGTCTATAGTTTGTTTTGCAACCAATTCTGGTCCAAACCACCAAAGTGAACAATTTCTTAAATTAGCAACAGTAGTTTCTCGTGATATGAGGTCGGAGGGGTTATCTTTCCCACGGCAGTAATGCCAATTATTGCTTTCAATTAGTTTCTGAATTCCATAAACTCTCTTTTTGATGAAAGATTTAAATCTTTCGGGAGATCCCTGAATCCAAAAATACGTTATTTGAGAATCAGTCCAGTGGAAGGGGATTACTTCGTATTTTAAAGATTTTGCTATTTTATCACTCAATCTAGGGTATAAAAGCGCACCCAAAAGCTCCAATCTAGGAAGTGTAAGGGATTTCAGAGGTGCAATCTACTCTTGGAAGCAACAAAACTGTTTTGAAAAGTTCCATTGTTCAAAACTATTCTCAGATATACCACGCATCCATAAGCTTTCAAAACTAGCATCAGAAAAGCATGGAGTTCTATTTGTTTCACATTGCATCTAATATCCTTCTAAATAGTAGCGGGGAATTCTGACGTGGTTCAGTTCTTCAATTCTTCGTACCAGGGCTTTCCATTATAACTAAGATCAGGTGGCAGT